CCGCTGACGGCTGAAAGCAGCCTATCTGGGCTTTGTTTAGCTTCTATAATTGCAACATTGTTGCATCCAGAGCTCAGAGCTTGGCTGCCGCAGGCCGGGAACGTTGGCTTTCTCCGTCACTGGAGCAAGCAAGCCTCCTGTTTGCTTCAGCTGCCTGGCTGCCGGCTGCCATCTTGGTTGGCAGTTAATTTGCATATCCTGCTGATTAGCCAATGGGAAACGTTCGGGGGTATGGTCAATTTGCATCTTTCTTTTATTAGTGTAGATATGCATGGTGGGGGGGGGGAGAGGAGGAGCTGGTCCAATTTTCTTAAGATTCTCATAGGTGACCTTGATCTAAAGATAAACGTATAATTAGCTGATCACCTTCTAAATTGCTCCAGATCTAAATACTGTTATTACCTTGTGGTAGGCGGAACTCTTAAGATGACTCCCAAGATTTCCTGATGTACATATCTTTTTAATCCCCTTCCCTTAAGTGTGGGCAGGATCTGTGAATGTAATGGATATTACCCTGTGATAGGGCTACAACACAGGCAAAGGGGAAGGGATTTTGCAGGTGTAATCAAGGCACTAATCAGTTCGATTTCGAGTTAATCAAAAGGGAGTTCACCTCTGGTGGGCCTGACTTAATCAAGTGAATCCTTTAAAAGCAGGCTTAGGACTTTCTCCAAAATCAGAAATTTCTCCTGCAGGCCTTGAAACAAGCAGCCATCAGTTCTACAGCTGAAAGGAAATGGACTCTGCAACAGAAGTATGGAAGAGGCTCTAACAGTGGATAGAGCGTCGTCCTGCGGACTGAGGGGTTCCAGGTTCAATTCCGGTCAAGGGCATGTACCTTGGTTGCCGGCACATCCCCAGTAGGAGATGTGTAGGAGGCAGCTGATTGATGTTTCTCTCTCACCGATGTTTCTAGCTCTCTATCCCTCTCCCTTCCTCTCTGTAAAAAAATCAATAAAAACATATATAAAAAAAGAAGTATGAAAGAGGACCAGCTTCAGATGAAACCTTGACTGTAGCCTGTGAGAGCCTGAGCTAAGCTGTACCTGGACTCTTGACCCACAGAAACTGTGAAATAATATGTTGTCTTAAACTCTAAGTTCGTGGTAATTTGTTATACAGCAACAGAAAATATATAATTTCTTAAAGCCAAAGCTTAGCTTAATTTCTCTCTTCTTGAAGAAACTGAGGTCATGGAGAACCCAAACAGGGCATTCTAGAAATTATATTAATCTCTACTAATAAAAGTGTAATATGCTAACTAGATTAGATAGACCAGACATCTTCCGGACGTCCTTCCGATGTCCTCTGGGACAAAAGCAGTGGTGGCTGCAAGGACCGAGAAGGGGTGGCAGCAGCAGCAGTGTGAGGGCCAAGGAGGGCTGGCAGCTGCGGCAGCTGGCAGTGGCAGCAGCAGAGGGGTGATGGGGGTGGCACCTTTCCCTGATCGACCCGGTCGCCTCCTGCAGAGGGAGGCCAGACTAGGGCTTAGGGGAGCGGGCCTAAGTTGTCAGCAGGACATCCCATGAGGGCTCCCGGACTGTGAGAGGGGGCAGGCCGGGCTGAGGGACCCCTCCCAGTGCACGAATTTTCATGCACCGGGCCTCTAGTATTACAATAAACCCAGTCACTTTACAAAGAAAAAATAAACCTATAAACTTCAGTCACTAAGGTAAGCTGAAACTAAATACTAAAAAATCATCCAGTTGTATTTTTAATAGTCAAGAGCTTCAATTATAGGAATACTCTGGGTTTGGTTCAGAGTAATGTGGAAAGTACTAAATCCATGACACACAATAGAAAGAAAAAAAAAACTTTAAAAAATATATTTAGACCACAGCTACTCTCATACTGACATTCATATTTTTATAGCACTTGAAAGAGCTCAATACTCCAAAAAGGCAGTTTAAACACGAGAAGCCAAGAACAATTAGCTTACTAAAGGCTTATTTCATTTTCCCCCTCATCACAAATAATGTTCTATGTTGAAAATGAGTGTTTCCTAGATCACTGGCTGTGATGAACTGTTAACTGTGCTTAAACAAATTTCAGACATGGCAAAGTTCTTCCTAGAATTCCATTAGAACAGGGGTGGGGTACGACCAGCCCGAGGGCCATATAAGGAAGGCCCTTGAAATTATTTGGTCTGGCCCTACCAAGGCATTAGGGGTGAGTTAATTGAAAGTTTGACCAAATATAGCAAGCTGATTTTTAAGTTGATAGCTTTGTATGGCCCCCAAATGATGTTATAAATATCCCAATGGTTCCCCACCCCTGTATTAGAATATCTAGGTCCCATATGAGACCATGGACCATGGGTAGAAAGGAAATATTTAGACCATCAGGTAGCCCTTGTACTCAGATGTTAATACCACCTACAATTAGTAGCTATAATAAAAGCATAATATGCTAATTAGACCAGACTTCCTTCCAGATGAAGCCAGGGCTGTGAGGGAAACCTGGGTCCCGGGTGCCTGCCGGTGGCCGGAGGGAGGGAAGCCTGGGTCCTGGGTGCCAGAGGGAAGCTGGTGCCAGCAGCTGGGGGAAAGTAGGTCTACTCTTGCACAAATTTCGTGCATTGGGCCTCTAGTGTATATATAAAGGATAACTATTCTATAAAATCATTTGGCCTACTATAACCTCCTCAGCTTACTTTGAACCAAATTTTTTATTGCTAAGAAACATAAATCATGTATTGTTATGTCCACCTTGTGGTAACTTAAGCCTTCTATAAAAACCACGCCTTGTATGCAATCTATCATTAAGAACTGTATGTTGAAGCTATAGTAATACTTAAAATATAGCTCAAGTCTCTCAGTCCATTTTGCTGGAAGAATGAAGAAAGGTCAAAACTTTGATCTGAATAGGGAGAAAGCAGAAGTACAGATGGTGTCATCTGAACAAATTCAGTGGATTAAAATATTAATGTTTATACTGAAATTACAGAACTGAAGAAATATGTCTGTTATGTTGCTTCTAGGTCAAAAGCTTATTTAGAAAGACAAACTAATACAATACATTGAGTTATACTCTAACTTTACATTAATATGTATAATAAATCCACACAGCAAACACACACACCCCATGTAAAACATTGCTTAAGTTTAATGTTTATTTCCCCAACACAGCCTAGCCTGCACTCTACTTGGATAAATTTTACAAGCTAGTTTTCTGCTGCTTCTAGTTTTAAACTTTATCCATGTTTCTGATGACAAGGAATGCTGCAAAAATACTCTAGTTCAACAAAGAGTTATGATCACAAAATAATTTTTATCCATTCTACAGTGTTTCAGATTTACCAGTTGATTCTTAAACACAAAGTAGATATAGATGCTAATGGTGGCTAATCTGGTATGTTTCTTATAGCAAACTGTTGTTCATGCAACACTTGTGCTCAAAGGGGAAGGCACAGGATTTCCTACAATGAGCCACCTTATAAAGAGTTCTTTTTGTACAAATTAATTTATGTCACATTTAATTTAGTGTGCATAACCTCAAAACTGAGGTATTATTCCAATTTATAAAAACCACTTGCATAACTCTTATGCAAGTTTTAAAAATACAAAGTTTTCTCCCTAAAGTGGCTCAAAATAGATTGTTCATGGCTGCCTACATCTAAGATAAAAAGATTCTAAAACAATTGAACAGATTAGGCATATTATTAAAGGTGTTCAAACCATTACTTGATTTGTACATCTATTCAAATCTCTTCATCAGTCTTTATTCAGCAGTACATATGCACCAAATTCGATTTTAGAAGTTTCCATATCATTTTCATAGAAAACAAAGTTTGAAAACAAATAACATTTAAACACAGCACGGTATTCTACTACAACTGAAACTTTTTTCTTCTTCTTTACAGGACTTAACAAAATCTAAAAATAAACTATGTTGTAGATTTACCTCATGCAAAGATCTTTATGTTATCTCTGAAAATGAAAAGGATGTATTTTTAAAGCACATTTTACTGTTTTATACTATTATGGCAACATGTGTACTGCTGCAACACAGTCTATTTTGAGGGAAATTTGATTTTTTTTTTCCATGCAAAAATCTACACAAATTAGTTCTGATGATATGGAAAGCTTTTCATAGCATCAAACATTCATCTGGTGCAAATGCACAGGGAAACCTTCCTGAAAAGTTTTCTGACTTGAGAAGCAACTAAAAAGCCATACTAGGTAGAGTAAATAAAAACTAAAAAAAAAAAAAAAAAAAAAAAAAACCAACAAAAAAAAAAAACCTAAAAAAAAAGAGACAAAAACAAACAAAAAAACCCCCCCTCAAAACAAAACAAAAATCCCCCAAAACAAAAAACAAAACTAAAAAAGAAAAAAAAGAAAAAAACCTAAAAAGAAAAAAGAAAAAAAAGGGAGGGGGTGGGGAGGAAAGGGGAAATAGAAAACACAGGCTGCAGAGTAAACCAATGTCTGCTGCTAAACGGGTCTTTGTTTTCATGTCCAGTGTACATTAACACTTATGATCTCATTTTGATGATTTACTAGGTTTGTTATCAGCCCCCTGAAGGCGAATCAAGCTTGCATGCGTTCACATACAGCACCACAACCACACTCTCATACACAGTCACTCCAGGACTAGGAGTCTGCTTCATGAGTGAAGAGCCCTAGATTTGAAAGATGAACCTGGCTCTCTATCATTGAGCCAGACATTCACTCAACACTGTCCATTCACACACTGCTTCATAGCAAGGCCTGGGCTCATTTTCCTTTGACTTATATGGGCATCCTATTCTCTTTTATGCTTACAAGGCTTGAAGATGACAGTACTGCACTCTCCCTCAATTGATGTAGAGTAAGTCAACGTTGAATGTTTCTTCTCAGGCACTGAAGAACTGTGACCTGTAGCCCTTTTTACTTTGATCAACCTAAATAAGCATTCATGTAAAGTTTTCATTACACTTTGCCACTCATTCTCACTCGCACCCACTCGCCATCTTGACCTCATTTGGGCATTTTCTGTGATTCCAAATGAAATCTTCACATTTTCTTTCCCGATTTAATGCAGCAGTAGATCCCATGAGCCAAGCTTGATGGATCAAACCTTTTTATATATATGTATATATATATATATATCTCAGTGCTGCATTGTACCTAACTTCCACAGCATCTTTCTAAAACTGGAACCCTTCTGTTGGTACATTGGCAGATGAATTGAAACCAAATGTTCCACCTTGTATTGCCTCTGGAACAAGGCTAGCATCTTCATCAATCTACGGAAAAATGAAAAAAAAAAAAAAAAAAAAGATGATTAGTTTAAAAGTATATATAAATAGCATTATAGTAACATTCCCATTTCCCTTTAAAAAGTATGAGAGAGATAATGTGTCAGCATTATCCTACCATCCCTTTTAAGAAAGCTGAAACATTTTGTAAACACTTTTTCTTAAGGATGCCAAAATGAGAAGAAACTTGAGAATATGCAAGATGGATATCTTCTAAAAGAATAAAATATCAGTAATAAATTAGAGATGGTCATACATTTTAAACTGAGAGGATACTCACTATAATTTCCCTTGTACCTGAGCAAATAGATAAAAGATGACATTAAAAAATTAATGCCACCACTTTTAAAGTAAGTATAATCTCTGGTTAATTTTTGTTTCTTTAGTTTTTAATCATCTGAGGACATGCTTAGAGAGAGGAAGGGAGAGGGAATGAGGGAGAGGAGAAAAGAAGGAGAGGGAGAGGTGAGAGGGAAACATTGATCAGTTGCTTTCTGTATGCATTCTGACTGCATACGGGGATCAAACCCGTAACCCAGCTGTGTGCCCTGACCAGGAATCAAACCATCGACCTTTTGGTGCATGGGATAAAGCTCCAACCAACTGAGCCACTCCAGGGAGACAAATGACATTTGGGCTTAAAATAGTAAAATAATAGCTAATAACTGATAAATAATATTCTATATGCTTTATATCTAAAGGTTCTTTTGTAAAATACCACAAAATAATGAGTCTATAGTGAAGTTCCTATAAATGTGTACATCCTCTGAATTATTTTCATAACATAAGAGAGTAACAAAAACTGCATGTTGAGGTATTAAAAATCATAAGGCCTTGTGTATATCTACTTGCAAATTAGGACTTCCAAAAATCCAACTTTAAAGACATGTGATAAAAGCTACCCTTAAAAAAATATGCTTTTTCTGGATTTTATTTGATTTACTTAAACTGGCATTATATTCTAAATAGGACTTGATCATCTAAAAGACTTGATATCTAAATGGTTTAATCACCTATAAGTAGAATCCACAACTTTCTTTTCTACTAGTCATGAGCCGCATTAACGATGGGGATATGTTCTGAGAAATGCATTGTTAGAGTGTTCTTACACAAACCTAGATGGTATACATAGTCTATCACTGTCATTGTAATGCTAAATTTCTGTATGACTGGCAGCATAGTAGGTTTTTGCTATACCAGCTTCACATGAGTAATCACTGGGGTATGACACTGTGATGTCTATGACATCACTAGGCAACAGGAAGTTTTCAGCTCCATCATTATAATCTTATGGAACACCATCATTTGTATGGTCCATTCTTGACTGAAATGTTATGTGATGCATAACTGGTTTTGTCTTTGTCAGGTTGTGTTTGAGTAATACATGCTTAACAAAATGTTTAGCTCTGGCTGGGTGGCTTAGTTGGTTGGAGCATCGTCACCAAAAGGTTGCGGATATGATTCTCAATCAGGTCACATACCTCGGTTGTGGATTCGATCCCTGGTCTGGATGCACATGGGAGGAAATCGATCGATGTTTCTCTCACACTCTCAGATCAATAAAAACATATCCTTGGGTGAGGATTTAAAAAAAAGTTTAATAATATTCTACTCTTTTGATAATATGGAAAAGTTTGTGTATAAGACTTAATTAAAATGTTGAGAAAATCACTCAAGAAATTCACTGGTGGTGGTATCTAACCATTATAATTTTCTAAGGAACAATTGTTTTTAATTTAGGCTTACTTTTCCAAAGAGGCAATACTAAAAATTAAGTTAATACTTTAATTTTCATTACCACATAAGACACTTTTGTATACTGTACCTCACATTATATGGAAACTTATCTTTTTGATGATTTATTGTTTTCAATTTATCTACCTATCTTCATATTTGTTTTGGGTCAACTAAAAGTAACCATGAGAATATAGTCAAAAGTGGATTAACTAATTACTGTCATGAAGAATTTATTACAGGACATCTAGTATCACTATTTTGTTTATAAACATGTTATGCTATTAACAATATAAAATATGACATCAAGTGAAAAATAAAGCCTGACTTGTCCAGTGTCAAGAAAATATGCCTAACTTATCTGCCATCAGTGCTAGTACTATTTTTTAATGCCCTGAGGGACTTTGAAATATTGAATTAATTATGTTTCTGAAACAAGTGACATTACCGTCATATACCTATTTTAATTCCATTCCCCCTAAATATATACATGCATGTCCTAGCTCAGTGATGGCGAACCTTTTGAGCTCGGCGTGTCAGCATTTTGAAAAACCCTAACTTAACTCTGGTGCCGTGTCACATATAGAAATTTTTTGATATTTGCAACCATAGCAAAATAAAGATTTATATTTTTGATATTTATTTTATATATTTAAATGCCATTTAACAAAGAAAAATCAACCAAAAAACTGAGTTCGCGTGTCACCTCTGACACGCGTGTCATAGGTTCGCTATCACTGTCCTAGCTTAATATATTATTTCATGTAGATGTATATTAAGAAAACTATAAAGTTATTAAATACATCATCTGTAGAGAAGAACTGATCAATGATCTCATAGGCCAATTTGTAGATGTCTTCATTTTCATGATTTTGCAGTTGTTCAATTTTCTCCAGTCCTGCAAAAGATTTTATAAAGTAAAATAGAGTAATATCTAAAAAGTACTAACAAAAAAAGTTACAATAATCTTGGACCACATAATCCAATTACTGAATTGCAAATCTATAATTTTGGGGAACCTATTCTAAGGGTGAATCTTAAAAAATAAAAAGATTTTATGCACAAAGATATAGCATGCTTATCTTAAAATATTAACAACCTGAGTGTTTAAATGCATATAAATGACTAACTAAGCAATGGGACATCTACCTATTCAGAAAACTATTATATCATCACAATGTTTATATGGAGTAATAACATGTAAAATTGCTTTTGTTTGTTAAAAAAGTTAAAAGCATATTCATTCCACTTTCTAGCATCTGCCAAGTTTTTCTAGTGAGTATATATGAAAAAAATTTAATATACTGGTGATTAATAAATAAATGTTAAGACATCTGTTAATTATAACATCAACGACAATATTTCAGGGGGAAATGGAATTTGCCCTGTAAACATTAGAGAGTTTGTTAAATCATAGGCAGAAACATTAAAAATATATAAACTTAACCTGTTGGCATTGAAATTAGGTCTTGTTTTGCTGTTTAGGAGTAGTAATTTCAAGGTCTCTAAAAAATAATGAAATTGCCCTTTCATGACTGTTCTTCCTCTATTTTCTTAAATGGTGATAGTTGTTTTGGGCTCATTTTTCATTCTACATTTTCCTTATGGGGCCCTCCCAGTAAAAAAATTTAGCTACTAATATAGGCTGAGGATCTGTATATCTATTGCTTCATTTCTTTCCTGAGCTTCACATTCATAAAACTTAAATGCCTGCATCATCTAATTCCACCAGGACATTTCACAGTTACCTGAAATTTGAACTGTCCAAAACACAACTTATTTGCCTTTACGCGTTTAAACTGTTTGTTCTACTGTATTACTTGGTGGTAACAGTTTGAAATCTAAGAGAAAGCCTAGTTCTCCTTTCCTCAATACTCAACAATCAGATCTTAAAAGCCTCCATTTCTTGAATTTTGCAAACTCCCCTTTGTCTCTACAATCACTGTGTTCATTTATTAAGGCCCAATTACTAAATACTTTCCTACTATGCCCATTTTTAATTTTTTCTGATACTTACTTTCCAATTAGTTCCCTAACACTATTTCCCATCTTCTGTTCCTAACTTGATAGTTATGCATTATTTTCTTTGTTAATCTACTTGTCACTTTAGTAACTTTAAAAATACTAACTTCTTAGTAATTTTCAAGCCTCTGCACTCCTTTACTAAGCTGAAGTAGTTCTCTTGTTATAATCACCTCTTTCTTCATATACTTCTCAACTTCTGTCAGATATACCTTTACTTTTATGCTTATCCAGGTTAACATTTACACTTTGTTCCACAGCCACATTTGAAACTTCCATGTTCTGTGTACTTGTTAATTCTAAGAGTTGAAAGCTAAGACGCGCTGTTTACATTCCAGGTGGCTGATACACAGCCAGATTTGGGAACTACTGCCCCACAGAATTAGAATAAAGTATCTAGTGTGCTACCAAAGCTTGTTACGATTATAGGGGCCTGCTTATTTGCCATGTCTCAGCCTATCTTTTGGCAGTTTCTACCCCAACTTTGTGATTCAGCAACACTGAACTACTTATAATTTGCTGAATGCTATTTCTCACCTCAGACTTTGCTCATGGTGTTATTTCTGCCTGGAACACCTTTCATCCCTTTTTACTTTATTAATCCTTATTCATCTCTCAAAATCCAGCTCAGGTGTGACTTCCTGCTTCTTCCGAGATGGATTAGGTATTTCATTTTGTTGTACATTTCTATTAGGGTAATTAGCACATTAAATCAGTTTATATTTATCTCTATAACTAGACTACATGCCTTGAGGACAAAAACTGTGTCTTGTTTACCACTGTCTTCCAAGTACCTTAGTACAATGCCTGTTCAATAAATGGCAATTCAGTTACCTAAGAATATGCAAGAAGCGGAGCAGGATTGTACATATAGAACATATTTAACATATTTACTTTATTATGTTACTTAATTATCTAAGACAGAAAAATACAGGAGTACTTTATTAGTCAGAAAGTAAACTTAGTTACAAAAAGAGTATTAGAATGTGTGATAATAGTTTACAGTAAACTTACCTCCACATTCTTCTATAAGATTGGCTATGGTTTCTGCCTCATCTTCAGCCATTTTTAATATATTACTTAGTCCATCGAGTACTACTTGCACAACTTGTGCATCTTTTACAGTCAGCAAGTTGCAAAAAGGTGGTATAACATTTTGTTGAATTAGGCAGGCCACCTGAAGAATAAAGACACCATGATATATTGAGCATAATGAACTTTGTTTGTGTACCTTATTATCTCGCTGAAGTAAAATATTGAGTATGACGTCATCTCTCACATGTTAAGTTAGACTACATTAATCAAACTTCCTTTTCTTTTTTACATAGTAAGTTTATTTTTCTTAAACTTAGAAAATAAATAAAGTGAAAGTGAATGAATCACTCAACTTCATATGAAACATTTCTTTGCCATAAGGAACACTTTTTTCAAAGATCCTTTCCCTTTAAGATTAAGAAATTAAAATATCAGTTAAGAGGCTGAATGTTTTTTTAAGAACTACAACTGTTCAATGTGAGAGCATCCATTGGCTCGTTACTGTTGCATTTAGCATTCTCATATCCGTGGCCACCTTCTAGTCACTATTCTATTGGTTTTGTAATATTTTCATAATACTTTTCTATCATCTCTATCTAGTTATTATATACATGCATTTTTAAATTAAAACAAAAATTTCTTTATTGATTTCAGAGAGGAAGAGAGAGGGAGAGAGCTAGCCTCTTGCATGCCCCCTACTGGGTACAAGCCCACAAACTGGGCATGTGCCCTGACCAGGGATAGAACTGTGATGTCCTGATTCATAGGTCGAAGTTCAACCACTGAGCCACACTGGCTAGGCTACATGAATTTTTATATTCTGCTCTGTATTCCTATTTAAGTGGATTCACTGCTCACCATCAGCCTATAGCTAATTTGTGGTAATTATCAATTTATTGCTTATCAGCTCCAAATTCACCCTTTTAAAATTATCTATGAAACATATCTGGGACCTTTAAAACCCATTTTCTTTTGCCACTTGGCACAATGTTAAGCTGTGACACCTGCACAATCACAGTGCATGTCTTTTTTTTTTTTTTTTTAAATATTTTATTGATTTTTTACAGAGAGGAAGGGAAAGAGATAGAGAGTTAGAAACATCGATGAGAGAGAAACATCGATCAGCTGCCTCCTACACATCTCCTACTGGGGATGTGCCCGCAACCAAGGTACATGCCCTTGACCGGAATCGAACCTGGGACCTTTCAGTCCACAGGCCGACGCTCTATCCACTGAGCCAAACCGGTTTCGGCTCAGTGCATGTCTTTCTAAATTTTATGCCCTAGGGACCTCACATTCCTCACTCTAGTTCCTACTCCCAGCCTTTTTTGGTTGAGTATTTATTTATTTTTAAAATGTATTTTATTGATTTTTACAGAGAGGAAGGGAGAGGGATAGAGAATTAGAAACATCGATGAGAGAGAAACATTGATCAGCTGCCTCCTGCACACCCCCTACTGGGGATGTGTCTGCAACCAAGGTACATGCCCTTGACCGGAATCAAACCTGGACCCTTCAGTGCGCAGGTTGACGCTCTATCCACTGAGCCAAACCGGTTAGGGCTGGTTGAGTATTTAGATGCTGTAAATTTTTGTTGTTCATTTGTTAGAATCTGTGAGGCAGTTTCATTCTGCCCAATTCACCTAAAAAGTCATCTGTCTTAATACTGTTAAAGAGCCAAAAAAACTCCACAACAAACAAAAAACACCAACCCCGACTATAAGTGCTTCTATCTTACGGGAAATTAGAAAATTCTTGTAGGCCAAGAAGTTGGAAAGAGAACCCTTCTCATCTATGAATTACTAGAGGCCCGGTGCACAAAAATCTGTGCACTCGGGGGGGCGGGGGGAGGGGGGTCCCCCAGCCCGGCCTGTGCCCTCTCACAGTCTGGGACCCTCGGGAGATAACGACCTGCTGGCTTAGGCCTGCTCCCGGGTGGCACAGGGCAGGCCCAATCCCTAAGTGCAGCCCCTGGTCAGGCTCAGAGCAGGGCCGATTGGGGAGTTGGAGCGCCGCCCCCTGTCATGCACAGAGCAGGGCGGATCGGGAGGTTGCGATGCCACCCCTAGTCACGCTCAGGGTAGGGCCGATTGGGGGGTTGGGGCACCGCCCCCTGTCACACTCAAGGCAGGGTCGATGGGGAGGTTGCGGCGCCACCCCCTGTCACGCACAGAGCAGGGCCCATCGGGGGGGTTGGGGCTCCGTACCCTGTCACACATAGAGCAGGGTCAATCAGGGGGTTGAGGAGCTCCCCCCTGTCACTCACAGAGTAGGGCCGATAGGGGAGTTGGGGCACCGCCCCCTGTCAAACACAGAGCAGGGCGGATCAGGGGGTTGGGGCGCTGCACCCTGTCACACTCAGGGCAGGGCCAATGGGGAGGTTATGGCTCTACCCTGTCAAACACAGAGCAGGGCGGATCAGGGGGTTGGGGCGCTGCACCCTGTCACACTCAGGGCAGGGCCAATGGGGAGGTTATGGCTCTACCCTGTCACACACAGAGCAAGGCCCGTGGAGGGGGGTTGGGGCACCACCACTGTCACACTCGGGGCAGGGCCGATGGAGAGGTTATGGCTCTACCCTGTCACACACAGAGCAGGGCCCGTGGGGGGGAGGGGGGGGGGTTGGGGCGCCGCATCCTGTCACACACAGAGCAGGGCCGATCAGGGGGTTGGTGTGCTGCACCCTGTCAAACACAGAGCCGCAGGGCAATCAGGGGATTGGGGCGCCTTCCCCTGTCATAAACAGAGCAGGGCGGATAGGGAGGTTGTGGCCCCGCCCCCTGTCACACACAGAGCCGCAGGGCGATCAGGGGGTTTGGGCGCTGCCCCCTGTCACGCTGATCCTGGTGCTGGGAGGCATATTACCCTTTTACTATATAGGATAGAGGCCTGGTGCATGGGTGGGGGCCGGCTGGTTTGCCCAGAAGGGTGTCCTGGATCAGGGTGGGGGTCCCCACTGGGGTGCCTGGCCAGTCCGGGTGAGGGGCTGAGGGCTGTTTTCCGGAAGCGAGTGACTGTAGCTTCCAACCGCTCCTTGTTTCCTTTTTTTTTATTTTTTTTATTCTGGGCCAGCTTTAGCTCTGAGGCCTCGCTGCTGAAAACATCGATACAAAGTTTCGGTCTGCTGGCTTTCAGTCAGGCTGGTTTCTGGTGTTTTGTTTAGCTTCTTATTTGCAACATAGTACATAGTTGCTTAGAGTTGCAGCTGAGAGGCCAGCAAGTGAGGCGGGGAACGTTGGGAGTCCGCAGCAAGCAAGCCTCATGCTCGCTTCAGTGCCTGGCTGCCGGCTGCCATCTTGGCTGACAGTTAATTTGCATATACTCACTGATTAGCCAATGAAAAGGGTAGCGGTTGTACGCTAATTACCATGTTTCTCTGTTATTAGTGTAGATAACTAAAGGAAGTCAAGGTCACACACACTCGCACAACCCTATCACAGAATGTCTGTTATCTTTCTACTATTTTAAATTATGATTTTTTTTGTTAATCCTCACCCGAGGATATTTTTCCATTGATTTTTAGAGAGAGTGGAAGAGAAAGGGAGAGACAGAAACATCGGTGTGAGAAAAACACACTGATTGGTTGCCTCCTGCACAAGCCCTGACCATGGCCCGGGCCTGGGAGGAGCCTGCAACCGAAGTATATGCCCTTGACCAGAATCGAACCCGAGACCCTTCGGTCCACAGGCCGACGTTCTATCCACTGAGAAATAAATAAGAGCTGAACTTACCTGATCTTTCCTTCCACTAATTGTTAAGTTACTTATGGCCCAAGCAGCTTCTTTCTGAGTGCCAAAATCCCCCTGCAAAAGCAAAGCAAAGGAGAGGATACAAACTCCAATACAAAGTAAAATGGAAAAACTGTTTTCTGAAATGAGTCCCCCCCACCCTTTTAATGAATTTATTAGTAACACGTTAACTCAATTATACAGGTTTCAGATGCACAATTCCACAACATATCATGTGTACACTGTATTGTTCACTACTTCAAGTCAAGTCTCCGTCCATCATCATTTATCCCACCTATACCTTCCTCTACACACCCCCACCCATCACCACACTGTTATTCGTGTTCATGAGTTTTTTCTCTTTTTTTGCTCAATCCTTCCACATCCCACCACAACTGAAATCATTTTTCAACTGCTAAATATTTCACCAGGTTTACTACTAGTCTTTCTAGAGGCACACATAATTGTTACTTATTAAAATACGCCTTTGAACCCAATTTACCATAAATACATGGAGACTTGTTATGACTTGATATGTATTATTGTTCAATAGTATCAGATTAAATAAAGTCAAGGATAAAATAAAATGGTAAAAAAAAGAAATCCAGAAAAATGTACAATTTAATCAAAGAAATGTCAAATTAAAAGAAAGTATCCTTTTAAACAAAAAGTTTTAGAAATTATAATGCCCACCATTATTAAGATTATGGTGAAAACATTATATTTCCTTTCAAATATAAATTGAAAAACATACTTAAAAATTATTTCTCATGTGAGTTAGTAATCTCACTTTTAATAATTTACCAAGAAAATAATTTAAAACAAGGTAATATTATGTATCTATCTATATATTGTTTTAGCAGCACATAACAGTTAAAAAGTAAAAGCAACCCTAGCCAGGTTGGTTCAGTGAATAGAGTGTCGGCCTGTGGACTGAAGGGTCTCGGGTTCGATTCTGGTCAAGGGCACATGCCCGGGTTGTGGGATCGATCCCCAGTAGGGGGCATGCAGGAAGCAGCCGATCAATGATTCTCTCTCATCATTGATGTTTCTATCTCTCTCTCCCTCTCCCTTCCTCTCTGAAATCGATAAAAATATATATTAAAAAAAGTAAAAGCAACTCAAATTCTCAACAGGGGAATAATTAATTATAGTAAATCTACTGAATGAAATAATAACCAGTTATTAAACTTTAAGAAGGCTAGCAACCTTGAAGAATGCTTATGATGTATTAACTAAAAATATATATAAAAAAGAGGAATGAAAATTAAAACTGCAGTGGGATATCTACCCTTATTTATTAGATTAACTCCAAATATCTGTTAGTAGGAGTGCAAAACATACACGCACACACACACATACACACACACACACACAATTTACAAACTACTTTTTAAAGTACTATTTAATAGCACAACACTACAAACATCTCAAAAATAAAATAAGTTGAACACATTATGGCACATCCATATATACAGTGGAATACTATGTAGCTATAACAAAAATAAGAAAAAAGAATAAGAAAGCTCATGTAATGGGAGTGATCTCCAGGATAATATTTCAAAAGAAATATTTTTAAAAAAACAATGCAAGAAAAAAAGGAATGGTAGGAAAATGAGCATGTTCATAGGCATTTGCTTATATTTAAAGAAGAAACAATGAAGGTATAAACCGAAAACTAATAAAAACTATTATCTGTAAAGAAAGGGAAAGAATAAGGAGAAATGGACAGAAATGTAAGTTAGCCCTTTTAAATAAAACAAGGTATGTATTTTTTACTTGGAAACCACATAAATGGTTTATATAACCAAAACCAATATTTTTAAAAATGGAATACTCATGTTGTTATGACAGTGTGGTTTTATTTTGATAGATTTTATATCTCATATATTCTCAATCTTTTCAGGAAGATTTCCAGAATAAAAAAGATAAGAATATAAAATCAAAGAAGTGAAAATAAAAACACTATTATCTTAAATAGACAGTAATATCCAATAGCTTCCTTTCATTCATGATTTGTTTTTTATAAATTTTCATGTTCACAACATTACATTTTTCACTTTCTAAAAAATACATTATCACCTCTTTTGCTCACTCGGGCCTAGAAACAAAGACAACCTTGTAGCAAAGATCATCCTTAGTACCTGAACTATGATCCTGAAATACAATTCTCTACAAAAAGGAACCAGGACATCCTGCAGAAATAGTTCTTTCAAGGTCCAGGTCAGAAAATATACAAGATAAGCCTGGGAATCATGTCATACCCAAAAAGAAAGAAGCTCTCAAAAACTATAAAGTGATGTAAAAAAAAAATAAAACAAAAACCAGACACCAAATTTAAGAGGTTCCTATTGGTCAGGGAACCCGAGTGCCAGCAAGAACTATAATGGACAAAAATATCCACAATCGACACTAATAAAAGAGAAAGATGCAAATTAACCATACCTTTGCGATGCCCACCAGCCAATGAGTATGCAAATTAACCCAACAAAGACGGTGGGTTAATTTGCATATGCAGGCACCCAGCAGCCAGGGGTGGGGCAGGATGCTTGCGTTGTTGCCATGGCAACGACGCAGGTGTTCCACACTGCCCCAGCCGCTCCGGGCCTCTGGGCAGCGTGGGAAGGCGGAAAGGCGGCTCCGGGCCTGAGCGAAGGCGGTACCGGCAGCCAGGGGAAGGAAGGCCCATTCTTTTTTTTTAAAAAATATATTTTATTGATTTTTTACAGAGAGGAAGGGAGAGGGAGAGTTAGAAACATCGATGAGAGAGAAACATCGATCAGCTGCCTCCTGCACACCTCCTACTGGGAATGTGCCTGCAACCAAGGTACATGCCCCTGACTGAATAGAACCTGGGACCTTTCAGTCCGCAGGCCGATGCTCTATCCACTGAGCCAAACCAGTTAGGGCAGGAAGGCCCATTCTTGCATGAATCTTCGTGCATTGGGCTTCTAGTCTTATATAATAAAAGCCTAATATGCTAAGTGTCCAGTCTGCAGTTCAACCAATCAAAGCATAATATGCTAATGATATGCTAAGGCTACTCACCACTTGCTATGACGTGCACTGACCACCAGGGGGCAGACGCTCAATGCAGGAACCGCCCCCTACTGGGCAGTGTGCTCCCACAGGGGGAGCGCTGCTCAGGCAGAAGCCGAGCTGGGCTCACAGCTGACGAGTGCAGCGGTGGTGGCGAGAGCCTCTCCCACCTCTGTGGCAGCACTCAGGATGTCTGACTCCTGGCTTAGGCCGGCTCCCTGTCAGTGGGACATCCCCCGAGGGGTCCCGGACTGTGAGAGGGTGCAGGCTGGGCTGAGAGACACCCCCCCCCCACGCCCTAGTGCACAAATTTTGTGCACCAGGCCTCTAGTTTCTTAATAATATTAAAAATGCCACCCTAGTCTACTTTTGAGGTTATTAGGAAACCATGTTATTCTAAAAATTGAGCAATAATAAACAAGAATCAAGCATTTATCTGGCCTTGCCTATGTAAAATATGTTACCCTATAAAACAATAGTTGATAAGGAAAAGTTCTTTATTGAAGAATAATGAAAAATACATAAAGAATGACAAAATTAGAAGTATTTTGAATTTCTTAGTAAAATAAGGATCCAGGCAATGATCACAATAGATGCCATTATGGGAAAGATTGATGTCTAACTTAATAATCAGCTGGCATAGGCTGAGAACACCTGACCTCACTCATCAATCTCACTTGAAGCAGGACAGAATGTGTCTCCTAATGTGAATCATTAGAAAGTACAGAGTAGTGCATAAGGATTCTTGCCTTACAAACTAAGCCTAATCTACCAGGAAATAGTTTCTACTACCAGTTTGTATAAAACATGGAGAAAAATAAGAGAAATATTGCCTCTTTATAGACCAGTATTCAGAAAAACCCTCATGCTGTGATTGTGACATTTTAAATGGTCTCTTTCTCAAATGTTAATGTAAACATGAGGTATGACACAAACTTATGATTAAATTGCACACTTATTTGCAGTTAGGTCTTGGGCAATTTATTTGTCTATACCAGTTTCTTCATCTGTCAGATGGGATAATTCTTAACCTCATATAGCAATGGTATTAAATGAGGTAATATATTTAAAGTGCTTAGCACAATACATTAGGCATGTATAATCAGTAGTAATAATATGAATGTTTAACAAATCCAAGGATAATAGTAATTTTAGTAAAAGAATGACATAGAAAGATCAAGGGTTCCTAAAAAGAAATGTTTCTTGTATATAAAAACTGCTGGGTTTAAAAGTTTTAATATTAATACCACTTTGTGGTAGTATTCATGCCAATTCTATAGGTTCTACTTAAATAAACAGAAAAGCATACATTGACATAATTTAGTTTTGTAAAAAATTTTTTTAGTTTTTTAAAAAATTGATTTTAGAGGGAAGTGGGGAGAGAGAGAGAGAGAGAGAGAGAGAGAGAGAGAGAGAGAAAAGAAAGAAAGAAAGAGAAAAAAAGAAAAGAAAAGAAAAAAAGAAAAGAAAAGAAAAGAAAAAAGCATTGATCAGCTGTCTCCTGCATGCATCCCAACTGGGTATCGAACCTGCAACCTGGGTAGGTGCTCCTACCAGGATGGAACCCATGACCCAATCACAGCGACACTCCAATCGAGCCACGCAGGCCAGGTCTCACATAATTTGTTAAATTTAAACCCTTTACTCTTACTCAGATACAACAAGATGATTTTCTTACCTTATCCAAAAGGTGTATTATCATTGGCACAAGATTGGCATCAATTACTGCCTGAACCTGCTGCTGATTTCCTGCTGTGATGTTAGAGAGGAACCACACTGCTTCCTGTAGAACAAGACAGCTTCAATATTTCTCATTAAAGAAATAAAATCTGCATCTGAACTAAGAAAAAACATCTTCACTACAATGTCCAAATGATTTTATTATTTAATGAGTTCCATAATAAAAATTATAGGAATCTCAACTCCTCTATCCCTTTTTCATGTTTTCTTTGAACAAAATGCTAATGGTCCTGATCAAAGTCACAATGAACTAAATAACCCTTCTAGAGAATTCTTGAAAGCCATTTCCCAAACATTAAAACCGAAAAGAAGATTGGATGAACAAATACTAAGGAGTCAATGGGCTGTAACACAAATACAAATGCTAAAACTACTGTAAACAGATTCAACATCCCCTTTACATAATGTGCTTTATTCTCTATTCTACTCTGATCAAGAGTCCTAGCCAAAGTAGATAAATCTTAATTATCCATAAATGAGACATGAAAAATGAAATAGTGGGTTGCTTTAATGTACTTATTTGTAATAATTCACTACCCCAAGTCTCTCAAGAGCTAAAGCAGAACCAGATGTTTGATTGCTTTATTGGTCTACCTTAAGGATCTTTTAAAGCTACTCTTTATACCACACTGGTGCCACTTTGGTTGAGATGTTTACAAGTTTTTACAAGTTTTATAGATAATAAGTGAACATTGAAGACACAGGTAACATGAAACAAGGCAAAATATCTACTTAACATCCTATGTAGAACATGACTATAATTTAGCAAACTTAACAGATTTATCAATATACTAAAGAAAACATTTTCTCTACTTTAAGAAACTAGTAAACAACTATTAGTATTAGCTAGTGCGCATTAGGCTCTTTTGGATCAGATCACAGGAACACATTTAATGAACCTGTTAAAGATTTTAGGGTGTTAGGCTACTTAGGTGAGCTGTTTTTGGGTCATAATCATCAGCAATGTTGTAATCAACAACCCATATGTTTCTACAACAGCCTCAGATGCACTCCAATATCAGCATCACCAGTCAGTGCCCCCTTTCCATAGCCTCCACGAGCGCACACACACACACACACACGCACACACGCTTTCTATTAATTATCTATAAAATATTAAACTTACATTACTTAACTTACATATTAAAAATTTCCATTCATACAACATTCAACACCCGATTATCTTTATTTCATCATTTCCAAGAGAGCCAATTTCGCACTGTTTATAATTGGCTTATTTATGGAAAATCACATACTAATTCATGTTAGAAAGAATAAAATATTTTATCTTTTCTTGATGTCTAAATGACAATTGACATTGATATTATAGACATTTCTGAGTCCCTAACTTTACAAATGAAAAAAAATTGCTGATATTTTACATTATTTATTAAATAGTGTTTAAAAATACTTACTTTATTAATTTTCTCTTTGGGATGTGTCAGAAGTGCTGGGAAATGTGACAGAGCATCACAGTTCAAAACTACCTGTGTTTGCTCATCAGTTCCAGTAACAATGTTGCCCACAGCTCGAAGTGCAGCAGTCTGACACATAAAAAGATTTAATGAGATGTTGCTCTATGTGAAATATTCCTTCTTACCAGAGACATATGTCTGGCAGATTATGAAAGATCCATTCATTAATTCAAACCTATGCTTTATGAAAAGGCTATGTCAGACATTGACTAGGGAACAGAAGAGTGAATAGGATACAAACCCCCCTTATGAAGCTTACATTATTGTAGAAATCAGTCAATGAACCAATAAGGATAATTTTAGCAGTAATTTGGGCCATAAAGAAAATAAGGTAGTATTTTAGATTTTAGGTTTAGTGTTTCAATAGGTTAACAAAAACAAGTGCCTTTTCTGAAGGAAAGCAGGAATCTGCTTAATATATAGGATTTCCGTATTCATATGAATTTGAATTGTCAATTATTTTCTTTAGTTGTATCAGGTCATTTTCTGTTAAAGATTTTTTTGGCTAATTTTTCCGTCTACAAACAATCCAGTTTCCTTTTTAAAAAATTGAGATATAATTCACATAACATATAATTCATCTTTTCAAAATGAATAATTAGTTTCCTTAGTATATTCAAAGTTGTGCAACCATAACCAATATGTAATTTGAGAACATTTTCATCACCCCAAAAAAGGATATCTGGGCCCATTAACAGTAATTCCCATTGCCCTCATCACCAGGTTACTGGCAATCACACTGTGCTTATTCCTATGGATTTGCCTATTCTGGACATTTCATTGGAATAAAATAGATGATGGCCTTTCACATTTGGCTTCTTTTACTTAACATAATGCTTTTAAGGTGCATTCATGTTGTGGCATGTATAACTATTTCATTCTTTTTTGTGGCCAAATAATATTGTACTGCATGGAAAGACTTAGTTTTATTTAACCATTCATTAGTTGATGAACATTTGGATTATTTCCACATTTTGGCTATTATGAATAATACTGCCATGAACATTCGTGTACAAGTTTTTGTGTGAAAATGTTTTTTCTGTTCTCTTGAGTATATACCTGAGAGTGAAATTGGTGGGTCCTGTAATAATTCTATGTCTAACTTTTTGAGATACTGTCAAACTAATTTCCAAAGAAGTTGTGTCATTTTACAATCCCACCAGCAGTATATTAGGATTCCACTTTCTCCTTTGCCAACACCTGTTACTGTCTTTGATTATAGCCATCGTGGTGGGTATAAGTATTTCCTTGTGGCTTTGATTTGCATTTCCTTAATGACTAATGATGCTGAAAATCTCATATGCTCATTGACCAACTACATGTCTTCTTGGGAAAACTATATTTAAATCTTTTGTCCATTTTTAAATTGGGTTACTTATCTTTTTATTGTTAAGTTGAATAAATTGTTTATATATTTTGTATACAAATCCCTTTTCAGATATATAACTGCAAAACTCTCTTCTATTCTGTAGGATGTCTTTTCACTTTCTTGATGGTGTCCTAAGAAGTACAAGTTTTAAATTCTGGTAAAGTCCAATTTATTTAATTTTTCCCCCTGGTTGCTTGTGGTGTCAAATCTAAGAAGCTACTGACTAATCCAAGGTCATAAAGATTTATGCCTGTTTTTTCTTCTAAGAAGTTTATACTTCTAGCTCTTACACTTAGGTGTTTGATCCATTTTAAGCTATTCTTTAAATATGGTATGAAATAGGGGTTCAACTTTATTCTTTTACATGTGGATATCCAGTAGTTTCACCATCCTTTATTGAATAAATTTTATTTGCTCATTGAATTTTCTTGGCACCCTTGTTGAAAATCAATTATCATAAATGTATGGGCTTATTTTTGGACTCCTGATTAGATTTCATTGTCCATTCTTGAATGTTATGCTTAAAGCAATTAGTGGTAAGAAAAACTTATGCTTTTATTAACAACAAACTCACCTGAACTTTCACTTCCTGGTGGCTGAGCAGAGGAACCAAATGAGGGACTATTCCAGAGTCTATTACCATCTGTATCTGCTCATTGCCAGCATCAGTAAGGTAAGAGAGGGCCCAGACTGTATCTACCAGTATCTAATGAATAAAATGAAAGTTTAAATTGCCTTTAAGTAAGTATCTTCTCATTTTAATAATTTAACCATACAGACTAATTTACAATTGTTCTAGTACTGTCTGTCTTTTTCTCTCACCTCAACTCATTGGAATCTTTTTATTATACTAAATATTAGCATTTATGAATGTTTGTATCAAGCATGTACATTTTAAGCCATATTCATAATGTTTAGGTTAATTATAATCTCTATCATAATTTAGTATCTAACCTTAATTCATTAAGATAAAAACACACTATACAGCACATGAAAGAGGAGAAAAAGAAATTCTCTTTCTCAAATGCTCAGACTGAGGGATAAATACAAGGACATTGTGGTAAATGTTTTAAAAAAACACACATTCTAGGTAAAAAAAAAAAACAACAACAAAAAGCATAATTTACACAAGCTATCAAAACTACTTAACTTTGCTTTCAAAGCCTTTCTAAATAATGGACTCTGTCAAAAGACAAGCCAGAGAAGTTAGAAACCTTTTGAATTCTAAACCAATGTTGTTTACACCATCCAAGAAGCTCCCAGAAGGAGGAAACATCATTTTGCTATTGCTCCTTTCAGGAATTTAAGAAAGTTCTATGGATATTTTTAATGTAAAAAGAAGATACCAAATGAGAAAATTCATACACATAACGTATTAAAATATGTGAAACAATGAAACTTTAACTTACAAATGTAACTTTTTTTTTCCTGGAGTACCAACATATGCCAAAATTTGTTTATTTTTGTTTTGTTAATCCTCAGCTGAGAATATTTTCCCCCCAGTTGATTTTTAAAAATATTTTATTGATTTTTTACAGAGAGGAAGGGAGAGGGATAGAGAGTTAGAAACATCGATGAGTGAGAAACATCGATCAGCTGCCTCCTGCACACTCCTTACTGAGTATGTGCCCGCAACCAAGGTACATGCCCTTTACCGGAATCAAACCTGGGACCTTTCAGTCCGCAGGCCGACGCTCTATCCACTGAGCCAAACCGGTCAGGCCCGCCCCCCCCCCCCCCCCAGTTGATTTTTAGAGAGAGCGGAAGAGAGGGGGAGAGAAACACTGATGTGAGAGAGACACATCGATTGCTTGCCTCCCACATGTGCTCCGACCAGGGCCAGAGATCAAGCCTCAACTGAGGTACCTGCTCTTGATTGGAATCAAACCCACGACCCCTCGGGCCGATGCTCTAATCACTGAGCAAAATTTTCAAGAGGTAGGGAGTGGGAGAGAAAGATAGAAAGCTAGGGCTAAAATTTTTTTATAAGCAAAAAATTTCAAGTTAACCGAGCATGACTGTAATATAAAATTTAGATAGATTTTTTTAAAGGCCCAATAGTGCCAAGCCAGTGTGGCTCAATGGTTGAGCGTCAACTCATGCACGAAGAGGTCACTGGTTTGACTTCCTGTCAGGACACATGCCTGGGTTTCAAGCTTGATCCCCAGTGGGAGGTATGCAGGAGGCAGCCAATAGATTGATGTTTCTCTCTCATCGATGTTTCTTTCTCTTCCTCTCCCATCCTCTCTCTCTCAAATCAATAAAAATATACTAAAAAATAACAAATAAAAGGTCCAATAGTAAACAAGTCATTGATATGCTCGTATCAAAATCACAATTTAAATCAGATTCATTCTCATATATACTGTTTGTAATAGAAAAATTTAATATTCCATGATAAGTTTACTAAATTTGAAATTTCAGTGTTTCACTTATGGTTTGTGAAAGCCGTTTTGTTTTTATTTTATTTTTTACTTCTTTGATAGTCTGATTTAAGAACTTGCTAAGTGCTAACCTAAAAATATTTTATTTTTAGTAAACGCTGTTACTTGGTAAACATGTGCTAAAAAAGAACAATGCAAACTGGTTTGAGAAATTAAAGGTATATAAAAGCAAGAAAAACAGAGTTACAATCTCAGCTTGATTGGTATAAACAGTATAAAGACCACAATACATCTCGGAATAAGGTCAAACAAGATGTCTGGTTTTCTGGTAGAGGTATAAACTTTGAGAATACTCTTTCTTGGAAATCTTGCAAAAGTAAAATATTAACATTTATAATTTTATCAAAGACTTTGGCTTGAAGGAGCAAAACCAAAAAAATCCTAAACTATGTGGAGCTAAAAAAAATATCATAAGAGAAAAGATCATATTCATCTAATGAGTTTTGTACATTATGTCACTGCTTAATGTAGTATAATTCTAACTTTAATTTGTTCCATATGCTTTAGAGAGATCCTGACAAAATGGTATTACCCTAGAAACTGTAAAGGAATGAAGCAGTTGATCAAACACTGGTCATCATACCTGTGTTTTTATTTTATTTAAGAATTTTAAAAAAACATTAAAAAAATACATATTTTATTGATTTTTTTACAGAGAGGAAGGGAGAGGGATAGAGAGTTAGAAACATCAATGAGAGAGAAACATAGATCAGCTGCCTCCTGCACACCCCCTACTGGGGATGTGCCCGCAACCAAGGTACATGCCCTTGACCGGAATCGAACCTGGGACCTTTCAGTCTGCAGGCTGACGCTCTATCCACTGAGCCAAACTGGTCAGGGCATACCTGTGTTTTTAAAGAACCACACAAGTTCCTGACTATTACTATGCATTTAATCCACATGATTTCCTTGACCCATTACATATATTGCTAGCTTTTCTAACATACTGAAGGCTACACTGGCTTTATAAGCAGTCAGGACAGTTTTCCATCATTCATACTTTCTGTGTTGCTTTTTCCTTTGCCATCTGTTAATAAGAATGATTATTTGTTATGTTTAAAATCTAGTCTGCACTGATTTTTTTCCTTATTGTCTGGATTTCAAGTTATCTCTATACCAAGTAAAGCCACTACCAAGGTCACTATAAGTGGAGAAACAGTAAAAATAAAATTAAAGAGCAAATAATGTCCACGGTTTGGTGTATGTATAGGAATACAAAGTCATGCATAAAGGCACAAACATTTCTCCTTTTAACTTAAAAAGATTGTTTAATGATTTATTAACCAACAACTTATTTAGGTCCTCTTTCAGGTTTTTGTTGCTGTTTTTTTGTTGTTAATCTTCACCCGAGGATATTTTTTCCATTGATTTTTTAGAGAGAGTGGAAAGGAAGGGGAGAGACAGAGAGAAAGAAACATCGATGTGCAGCCCGGGGATCAAGCTTGCAACTGAGATACATGCCCTTGATTGGAATTGAACCCGGGTACCTTCAGGCTGCGGGCCAATGCTCTATCCACTGAGCCAAACTGGCTAGGGCTCTTTTTATCTTTCAAAAAAACAAAAACAGCCCTAGCTGGTTTGGCTTAGTGAATAGAGCATCGGCCTAAGGACTGAAGGGTCCCGGGTTCGATTCTGGTCAAGGGCACATACCTGGGTTGCAGGCTTGATCCCCAGTAGGGGGCGTGCAGGAGGCAGCCAATCAATGATTCTTTCTCATCAGTAATGTTTCTATCTCTCCCTTTCCCTTTCTCTCTGAAATCAATAAAAACATACTAAAAAAAAAATTAAAAAATTGGGTGTATGTATTCTCTTATTGGTCAAGCTATCAAAATGAGATTCCATAAAAAGCTCATGAACAAATTGAAGAACTTCCAATGTAACTTTTACAATACTAATATACATGTGTATATACTTTATTGCTTAGACCAAAATAACAATTAGGCTTGATTTTCTTACTGAAATTAAATTTAGTGATGTAAGTAAATACAGAGTACAAAAATGTCAAATTATGTATTTTAGCTCTTGAATGGAAAAATGTGATAGAATACACTGACATGATGTCCATTATAACATTTTCTCCCCATCTCACATGCATACACACACACACATAAAAAAATACATGAAGCGTTTACTCACATTTACGTCTGTGTGATGAATTAAAACACAAAGAGCTGGAAGAATCTGAAGAGAAAAATATACAGATTTTAAAACATACACAGATAAAAACATACACATAATACTTACTTCAGTTTGAAAATAAAAACAAAAAACACTTGTTTACCTCCTGAATGGTTTCCATTGGGGGTGGTGGGTCTTTGTGCCGACATAAGTTAACCATAACCCAAGTAACATTTCTTAAGAATGTTATAGGAATAGATGGACTTATGAAGGAAAGTAAAGGTTTCACAACTCCAAGATTTATGACATAATCTCTACACTGTGGCCCATCACCTGTAAGAAGAATTTATTAATTCAATAAAATATGTTGTCAATAAGCAATTCAGAAAATAAAGCACTAGATTCAATATGCTGCATTTTAATCAGTTATCCTATTTAGTTTTATAAAAAAGTTCTAGACAATAATAACCAAGTTCACATGTTTAGGTCTTTGAGCCAAGAGAAGCAATATAAGGTACTAAGTTTTTTGTTTTTTTTAAAAAATTACTCAAATATTCAGGGTTATAAGCTGTTTTACCTATAAAACATTTTTATGCCATCTGAACACTAGAAGCCTAAGGGTAGCTTAAAATACTTTTCGAACAGAGAATTGTTGCTTTTATCTTTTCTTTCAATGGCAATCCCAGTTTAACAAACATTCATGTATTAAAAAGATATACCACAATACTACTGGAGAGAAAATATTTATAGAATTTATACTGATGATCCAATATCAAAGCATTAAGAGTATTAACTATAAATTATTCTCCACGATAGTCTTTTGAATTTGGGTGAAGTGTATGCTCAAGTTAAAAAACAATCCTTGAAACATTAAAATTGTCTTTAATTATTTTTCCTACATTATTTATTAGAATAAACCTTAAAGTATGGTAATCATGATGTTCACCATTTAATGAGACTGTCTGTAACGGGGGTGGGGAACGTCTGACCCTGGCCCATGAAATCACTTGGTCTAGCCCTGCCTAGGCATTAGGGGTGAGCTAATTAAATGTTTGACCAAATATAGCAAGCTAATTTTTAAGTTGATAATTCTGTATGGCCTGTGAATGGTGTTATAAATGTCCAAATGGCCCCTGGTCTATAAGCTCTAGATTATCTCCTATATACTGATTTCATTATGATAGTAGATAACATTATTATAATGTACTAAAATCTACAAGAGGTATAAAAATTTTAATTCAAAACTTTTCTTAAAACTGATATTATGAAGAAAAATTTTTAAGTTTTGCTTCCTCCTTTTTATTACATACTTTCTATGACAGAGGGGAGAGCTAAGAAAATGGACCCCAACATAATAAAGGAGCAGGAAAAGATCTAAATGATATACATATTTCATAATTTTCAAATAACTAAATATTGACTACATGCCAAAATATATTATGTTATCATAAGCAGCAAAGATATTCATTTTGTTTACTATCAGTTTATACTTAAACAGCTTTAATTTCTGTAAACTATTTCATAAAAATTAGTACTGATCCAAACCAACCAGTTTTCCTTTTCAATTACTAAAGTTATTTTCATTACATAGTATATGATAACAATGGCTGGACTATTATAAGTTGAAGACAAACCTATGATATTTCCCAATGCCCACACTGCTTGCTCACAGACATTTTGATGGGGTGAATGAAGAAGCCTCAGGAAAAGTGGCACGGCATCTGAAGGAGGAAAACGTAAAAGCAGTTAAGTATAAGCACAGTTATATGTCAATTACATTTCCAATAAAATTGGAAAAACGGTTGAAGATACTATAATCTAAACCAAAATCAATCTTGGTTTTTTTGCTGAAACCTCAAAAGAAACTTATCCAAAATATACTTGAAATATATTTTTATTACATGATTTTCATTACAATAGCAGCAGTGGAAAATTTTGACCAGCAGATTGCTTAGTTAGCATTAAAAGAACAATTTTAACATGCAGACAAATGTAAAATTAAGCTGGTAAGATTTCATTTACAATTAAACTTGGATTTAATTCCAATTTTAAGGTTAATTCCTTATAGATTAATATTTATCTTCAAATTAAAAACACAAGAGTCCAAATGTTAAAGTAACTTATGAATTATATCACATGGGTCTTTACACAGGCCAGCAATTCCTGTGCCACATGAGACTTTGATTCAGATAGTGGCTCTGTTGCTTAATAACAAGGATGGGAAACACAGAGAAAGGTTTGTACCTGAACAGAATACTGCATCGAACAAATGATTCTTCACTGGTACAGGATATCAAAGTAACATACTTAAGTTGGCTTACTTCAAATATCTTAAGTGTTATTGAATAGCTATTATTTTATAATATAAACTAGAGGCCTGGTGCACAGATTCGTGCACCGGTGGGGTCCCTCGGCCTGGCCAGTGAGGATCAGGGCTGGGGAGAGACTGTGGGAGGGCTCCAGGGTGTGTTCAGCCCAACTTGCCCAGTCCTGATTGGCCAGACCGGACCCAGCAGCAAGCTAACCTACCGGTTGGAGTGTCTGCACCCTGGTGGTCAGTGTGTGTCATAGTGACTGGTCGAATGGTTGAACGAATGGTAGGACACTTAGCATATTGGGCTTTTATTATATAGAATAACTCTATTCTTTTTAATAGAGTCACTATTTATTTTGTCTGTTAATAACCAACTTACTGGACTGAACTACTGCTTGAGTTTGTTCAGAGGTTCCAGACGCAATATTTGTCAAAGCCCATGCAGCTTCAAACTGTAAAGAAGGACTACAAAAAAACAAATAATTAAAAAAAATTATTATGTATCAAATATCTATCAACCATTCCTCCCTCATAGAGCATTATAAAAGCATTGAATATTTTGTTTCAAAAGGTATCTATGCATCCAGAACTTCTTTTAAACCTCCATTTAAAATTTCCCTTTAGTATAAAAAGCATATAACCTATTCACATGATCTATTTCTTAGTAAGAATTTTTTATTATACCTGCACATTACAATCCAAACAGTGTTCTCAAGGACCTATCTGGCCAAACTATTTCTTGCCAATTTTCAAAGCTTAAAAGTTGTATGTATCATTCTCAAATTCTTCTTTGGCCTCTACCTTTACCTCTTGGTATAAACACCCTGCATTGTTTTTCACTTTGGGTTTTCAACTCCATCTCGTAGCACTTTTCTTTACTTAAAGATCAAACTAATTACTAGAAAATCTTATCTTCTGCAAAGAATACATCCTAAATTATTTCTTAAAATAATGTACTTACTTGTCATCTCTTTCAAGACAATGGACTAAAATAGGCAATATTCCAGATTTTATTAAGTCATCAATTGGTGGATTTCGATCACTGGACAAAAGCTTCCTATAAGAGATATACATACTTGTGAAATTTAATCACATATAATTAAATTCAAGTTCATACTTGATATTGATTATAATAAATGTTACTACCTGGCACAAATACTTACTCTGAAAGTTACTTTAAAAATTTATAATGCAACCTTTTCTGTATTAAAATATTAATTCATAAATATATAGATTACTAATTAGGAAAAATGGTAGACATAACCACTTTACCTCTTTTTTTATTAGTACAGTAATATTATTCCCACAATGAAGGCCTAAATATGACAACTAGATGTTTTAAGTGTACCTTTGCAATGTTGAGGTCAGAGAAAAAAAGTGGGCAGATTCCTTCACCATGTCATTGACCTTGCTAAGTAAGGAAGGTCACCAAAATATCCAAAATTATTCAAACCATGTCACAATAGAAGATAAAGGACAAAAGCACGTAGACTGCTGTTACAAATTTATAGCTGATACTAGTGTCCAATATTTCATCCTACTGCATACACTAAATCAAATATCATGTAAGCTCAAACTTCTCATCAAAGTAACTAAAGTGAAGTGAAGTAAGTACAACAATACATAGAAAAATATCCAAAGAGATACTGGAGATATTAAGGTGAACAAGACAGACACACCCTTGCTCTTATGAAGCTTAGAGGGTAAAACAACAAAATTTTGTGTCTATTTACACATGTGGAAGACTGTAGGTTTAGCAGATTAAGTCCTCAATGTGGCCTAACCCAAATCTTTATCCATTTGAATACCATGCATTATGATATAAATACAATGTTTTAAGAAAGCTTAGTGAGATCATTCCCCTGTATATATACCAAATGATGGCTACTTAATGTAAACTCCTAAGGTCAGTTATCTGTCCCACCACTTCTATTGCATTTCCAAGCCCTTTTCCTATTCTCTGCACTTGGAATGCCCTTTTCTGTCTATTCAAAATCTACATAATCAAAGTCCATTTTAAGTTCTATGTTTTCATAATATCTTCCCTGAATTCTAAATTCCCTGTATTACTAAAAGCATATTTACGTAGCATATACTTAGTTTCGCCTTCCTAATTAGGCTCTTAACCTCTTATAGGGCAAAAAGTATGCCACATGCTTTTTTACAGTATTTTCCATAACACATGGCACATAGCACAAACTAAGAAATAACCCAGTCACTGTTAATTGAGGTACCAGACATAGTAAAAAAAATGTTTTTACTACTTCATTGAAGACATTCTTTTTTTTTAATAAAAAAAAATATTTTTATTGATTCAGAGAAGAAGGGAGAGGAAACGATAGAAACATCAATGAGGAGTCATTGATCAGCTGCCCTGCCACTATAGGTTGAATCCTGAAACCTGGGCATGTGCCCTGACTGGAAATTGAACTGTGACCTCCAGGTTCATAAGTTGATGCTCACTGACTGGGCTAACTGAAGACATTCTTTAACAGAAATTGCTTTTTTTCTTTGAGTGCATAATAGTACAAATAATATCTGAAAAATAGCCATAAAATCAATTTTGTGCCAGTCTTGATCTGTGCTAAGTTTTATCCACAGTTGCCTCTGTCACATCAATGTAAATGGTGACACAGTGAAAAGAGGCAAATAAGGTCTTAGAATTATTGTGAAAATAGGTTTGATCTTGTATACCCCTTGAAGTTGTCTCAGGACCTCCTAGGGAGATTGAGAATCCCTGCCATAGGGATTTAATTATCTTACAGAACTCATATTGAGAAGAGTTGCTCCAAAACTGTAAAATAATCAATTCAGACAATGGTGAGCATAATGTATCAATTTCTTAATCATTCTTCCTATAAACATTAATTTGCCGTTTTGAGGTGTGAAAACTTCTGCAATTTTCTTCCTACAAAACAAAGTCCTCTCTAAGAAGTTCTGTTACCTGTAGTGGGCTAAACACTGTATTTGTATAAGTTTGCCATCTGTTCTAGGTAATTTAAAGTGAATATAAAAGGTCCTGGCTGAATAGGTCAGTTGGTTAGAGTGTTGTCCCCAAACGCCAAGGTTTTGGGTTCAATCTCTGGTCAAGGTACATACAAGAAGCAACCAATGAATGCATAAATAAGTGTAACAACAAATCAATGTGTTTTTTTTCCCTCTCTTTAAAATCAATACATCAAAATTAAAAATAAAGCGAATATTAAAAAGTAGGAAAAGTCTATAAAGGGTTTTATGCACAAGGTAAGATATTGGATGGACCTGTGAAATCTTTTTCCACTTAAAAATTCTCAAAGTAGGATCAATTTCTTGCTTAAGTCTGTCCTACTACTAATTGCAACACAGGCTGCTATTCTTATATTTATACTAGAGGCCTGGTGCATGAATTCGTGCACAGGTGAGGTCCCTCCTAGCCAATGGGAGCCGTCTCGTCTAGTCCCTATCAGGAAGATTGGGGTCGGCTGGCCAGGTGGAGGGACTGCAGGAGGTTAGCTAGCCGGGAGGAGGGACCGTAGGAGGTTGGCTGTGGGAGTACACTGACCACCAGGGGGCGGGCTTCTGCGTCATAGCTACCGGCTGGTTGTCCAGTTGTAACGGTCACTTAGGCTTTTATATCTATAGATATACAAAGCAAACACTATGATATAACTATGTCTTCTCCAAACTATTAACTATGAGAGCATAGGTATTAAAACAGAAATATTTTAGTATTCTTACCTGGAAAGAGTCTGGGAGTCTTTGTAGTCCTAAATCTTAATGTCTACTTGCCTATACACTGCTACATTAAGCTTATAACTTAATTTGTTATTTGATCAATATGAGGACTATGAGAAGAATTAGCTACCTGGGCAGGATCTGAACAATATAAGTTTTTATTAAATTAAACCTATAATCAATAAAAGGTAAAGCTTTTAAGTAATGTTTTCCAATTGGTCTATAGCAATAACCCATCAAATCAACTTTTCCCTATCATCTGTACGTATTAAGTACACTAAAGTTGAGTGTATTTGTGAGTTTAAAACATTGCTACCAATTTTAATATTCTAAATCAGAGACTAATTTTAAAATTAATCCAGTTGGTTTATGACTGGTTCTATATTGTTTGCTATCAAAGTTAAATGAGTGTCAAGACTACTATCTAGTGAATACCCAAAACAGAACTTCTGTGTAAGTTATAAAACTTAAGTATATCCTCAAAATTTAACTTACCTAGCAGCTTGAACTGCACTTAATTGAATTCCTTGGTTATCACTTGAAGCATTCTATAAAAAAATAAAACAGTTTTGATGTAGATACACAGTAATTAGCTAAATCCAAGAAATGTAATAAAGAGAGGAAATAATAACACAACTTACTTGAACAATAGCTTCTAGAGAGGTATTTTGCTGGGGAAAAAAGTTAAAGTGAAAACTAAGTTAGGAAATCACCTTAAAATTCTATATTTATATAAAATCTTTCACTGGTAGTTTTAAGTAACCAGGATAACAATAACTTACCACTCTATAATCACCATCTATATCAGAGTCTTCACAGATATCTTCATGTGGTACATTCCTCCTCTTTAAGAGATGTTCATCTCTTTTATTCTTAAAAATAAGTATAAAAAGAAAAGAAGTAACTTTAAATAAAGGAAGCTAAATACTTTCATACAGAGGTTAGGCTATCCTGTGCCTACAAAATGAAATATGAAGTGCCTTTTAAAAGTAAATGCAAATGTAGAAAATTAAACCAAATTGTGAATTAAACACTTAAGCAACTCTAATTTGAGACCCAAACCCCAAATAATTAAGTTTTTAATAAACGGTGAACTATGTAAAAACAAAGTAATGAACAACAACAAAAATTGATTAAAAAAGTGTGTACAGTTTAAGCCAGAACCAAACATACATATTTATTTAAAAGTACTAAACCATTTTATACATCATCTGGGAGCTTCTCTTTACTGCCTAAAAAAAAAGTCAAAGCAAAAGTTGGGCAGTTCAAAAATCAGACAAAAATCAACACTGCCTTACAAAAATCAAGGGCCACTTGAATTTCACTTAAAATGTTTGGGACAAATTAAAAAAATACATTTTCAACTACTTTAATACTTGAAAAGTTGATGAAATTTATAAGTAACAAGTTCCTTTCAGGGTGTAACTGCTATTGTAAATAGAACTATTTAGTATAACTACTAGTACACTCATGACTTACAACTTATATAGATCAGAAGGAAAAAACCATCTCATAATTAGTTTCTCTGTTTTTTTGATAGTGGTCAAGTTGTATTTTGCCAACTTCAAAAGTTTGCCAAATTTAGTCAAAATCTTTCAGTTTTCAAAAGAAAAAGAAATGCTCAGCACTTGAGATTCACATACATTTGATATCCTCTATACATGCTGTAATGTTATTACAATGATGCTTACAAGTACCCAATAATAATCAGACTTACCTTCCTTAATTCAACCACAACTTCATTTCGTTGTCTTCTCATAGTCTACAAGAAATTAAAGAAAAATATTTTTAACAATTCACCTCAAATTCCATCACCCACAGAAAAACACCACTAACATTCTGACATGCATCTCCTTATCTTTTCTTCTAGTCATGTATTCACCTGTAATATTTTATTCATAATAAACATTATATGAAAAAATTTCTAACTTCCATTCACATTCATATTCTCAATTAACAATCTCTTTGAAATTAGTAATAGATCTATAATATTGGATATATCATAAATTTTTAAAACTGTAACAGCCCATCCAGCTTCTCTTTCTAAATATAAACACTGTTAGATTTATTATGATTCTGACACACTTATCTATTTATTCTATTCTTCACCTCATTTGTAGATTTTAGAAATCTTTCATGGTGGTATACACAGATCAATTTCATTCCCAATGACCACAATAATTATTCTATCAGGTACTGTAACAATTCTCATATTTTTTAACATGCTTTTCTCGTTTTAAAGTCACCTAACACATGGATATATGCTCACTATAAAACATTCACATATTCAAGAACAATACAAGTTCAAGCTCTTTGTTTGTACGGGTTCACCTTATTCTTTCTAATGACTGCATGTGCCAAGACATATTAAGTGGAAAGAGTAAGTCACAAATTCATACTTAGGTGTCTAATAAGTATCTCAAACTTATGTCCAAAACTGAACTTTTGATCTTTAACAAACATACGTACTCTATCCCATCTCATATAGTTTATATATGGAATAAGATTTTTTTCATTAAAAGCCTTTGTATTTTTATAAGCCTTATGTTACTGTTTAAAAATTTGATCTATCCAATATTACAGATTAATTACTTCAAAGAAAATTTCAGCATATGGCAATTCTATCCTTCCAGTTGCACAGATCAAAAATCTAGGAGCCATCCTGGATTCTTCTTTATCTCTCACACATTAAATCTGTAAGCAAATCCTATTGGTTCAACTTTTAAAACTTATCTGAAATCCAACTGAATATCACTACCTCATCTTCTACAACTCTGGTCCAACTCACCATTATCCCTCCCCTAGATTAATGCAGAAGCTTCCTAACTTGTATACCTCCATCTACTCTTTCTTTCCATCCTCCTCCCGACTCCATTCTTGTCACAGTAACCAAAGGAATCCTTACAGGTAATCTTAATTTTTGTGTGCCACTGATTCCTTTGGAAATCTGGTGAAATCAATGGACAGACACCTTCTCAGATAGTGTTTTTAAATACAGAAAAGAAACTTGTAAGATTAAAAAGAAAACAATATATGAGTATGAGAACAAAAATTGTATGTGCTTTATTGTAACACTAGAGGCCTGGTGCACAAAAATTTGTGCACTCGGGGGGCGGGGGGAGGGGGGTCCTCCAGCCCGGCCTGTACCCTCTCGCAGTCTGGGACCCCTCGGGAGATAACGACCTGCTGGCTTAGGCCTGCTCCCGGGTGGCACAGGGCAGGCCCAATCCCTAAGTACAGGCTCAGAGCAGGGCCGATTGGGGAGTTGGGGCGCCGCCCCCTGTCACACTCAAGGCAGGGTCGATGGGGAGGTTGCGGTGCCACCCCCTGTCACTCACAGAGCAGGGCCCATCAGGGGGGTTGGGGCTCCGTACCCTGTCACACACAGAGCAGGGTCAATCAGGGGGTTGGGGAGCTCCCCCCGTCACTCACAGAGTAGGGCCGATAGGGGAGTTGGGGCACCCCCCCCCCGTCACACACAAAGCAGGATGGATCAGGGGGTTGGGGCGCTGCACCCTGTCACACTCAGGGCAGGGCCAATGGGGAGGTTATGGCTCTACCCTGTCACACACAGAGCAAGGCCCGTGGAGGGGGGTTGGGGCGCCACCACTGTCACACTCGGGGCAGGGCCGATGGAGAGGTTATGGCTCTACCCTGTCCACACACAGAGCAGGGCCCATGGGGGGGGGGGGAGTGGGGGTTGGGACGCCGCACCCTGTCAAACACAGAGCCGCAGGGCAATCAGGGGATTGGGGAGCTCCCCCCTATCAGGCACAGAGCAGGGCTGATCAGGGGGTTGGGGTGCCTTCCCCTGTCATGAATAGAGCTGGGCGGATAGGGAGGTTGTGGCCCCACCCCCTGTCACACACAGAGCCGCAGGGTGATCAGGGGGTTTGGGCACTGCCCCCTGTCACGCTGATCCCGGTGCCGGGAGCCTCGTTGCTCCGCTGATCCCGGTGCTGGGAGGCATATTACCCTTTACTATATAGAATAGAGGCCTGGTGCACGGGTAGGGGCTGGCTGGTTTGCCCTGAAGGGTGTCCTGGATCAGGGTGGGGGTCCCCACTGGGGTGCCTGGCCAGTCTGGGTGAGGGGCTGAGGGCTGTTTTCCGGGTGGCGAGTGACTAAAGCTTCCAACCGCTCCTTGTTTTCTTTTCTTTTTTTTTTTTTTATTCTGGGCCAGCTTTAGCTCTGAGGCCTCGCTGCTGAAAACATCGATACAATGTTTCGGTCTGGCTGGGCTTCAGTCCGGCTGGTTTCTGGGGTTTTGTTTACCTTCTTATTTGCAACATAGTACATAGTTGCTTAGAGTTGCAGCTGAGAGGCCGGCAAGTGAGGCGGGGAATGTTGGAGTCGGCAGCAAGCAAGCCTCATGCTCGCTTCAGTGCTTGGCTGCCGGCCGCCATCTTGACTGACAGATAATTTGCATAAACTCACTGATTAGCCAATGGGAAGGGTAGCGGTCGTACGCTAATTACCATGTTTCTCTTTTATTAGTGTAGATTAAATGGATTTAGCAGTGGGTCTAATAACTCTTACAATTTCAAAGTAATGAAGACCATAAATGATATTTCAGCATATCTTCCAATAATAATGTAATTTTTACTGGTGGTCACAAAGTCACAGGTAACTTTAATAACTATTGAGATTTATTGGCTATATTATTAAGTGTGTGGACAAAAAAGGGGTTTTTCGGAAAGTAACCCCACAGGATGAAATCAACATAAATTCCTAACCGGGCAGGTCATGGTGGGTCGGCATGCCTGAGGCATGTAACTTTTTTATTGAAAGGTTTATCTTTGCCTTAATCAAAAATTGTTTCTGTGCATCTAGGTTAAATTCACATTTGAAATACCGCTTTTCAGAAGTGACCACCCTAAAGGGAGCACATAATCTTCTTAATTATCCTGTAATCCAATCCCTGCCTTGCTTTCTGCCACCTTCCTGTAATCTTCCTTGCATTCCCTCCTTAATTGTCAATACATAAAAGAAACCGCAAAACTGTCCCTTTCCTAAGCATTTGAGATCTTGCTTCCTGGCAATTGTCAGTTTGGCCCAAATAAACTCTTATAAAAGAAAATACTGTTTCAGTTAGAAGTCAATGAAACAATAATATAAATTTTTTCTAACTTTCCAAGCACGCCTGAATTATAAGCAGACTCCATGGGAAGGACTCAGTAAAGAATTCCTCTCTAGGCTGGCCTGTGTGGCTGAGGGGTTGAGCATCAACCTGTGATCCAGGAGGTCATGGTTCGATTCCCAATCAGGGCACATGCCTGGGTTGTGGGCTCGATCCCCAACGTGGGGTGTGCAGGAGGCAGCCAATCAATGATTCTTTCTCATTATTGATGTTTCTATTTCTCTCTCCCTCTCTCTTCCTCTCTGCTATCAATAAAAATTATGAAAAAAAAAAAAGAAAGAATTCCTTTCTAAAAAGTCCATCAAGAGGATTCTGGTCAAGATGGCGGTTAAATGCAGTACTCATAGCCTCCCACAACATCATCAAAATTTACAACTAAAATACAGAACAACCTTCATTCAGAGCCACCTGAAATCCAGCTGAATGAAAGTCCTACAACTTGGGAATTAAAGAAGCAGCACTTGAAGACTGGTAGGAGGGGCAGAGATGTGGGTGGAATTGGCTGGTCCCACGACAACATGTGGCAGTTTAAAATTTCAAAAACTGGGAGGCATATCTTGGCTGTAAAGGTTTCCCTGAGGAGTGAGTGGTCCCGTGCCCCCAGTCTAGGGTGTCAGTGCCAGGAAGAAAAGTCCCCATAACTTCTGGCTGTAAAATCTAGTAGGGATTGTGCTCCTGCCGCTGTTACCATATGTGTTAAGCCACGCACTAGCCATGTGCATTTGTTTACTCTTGGTGACCTGTGAATGCTTGCATTTCCTAGACCTATTCAGTATAAATTTAAAATTACAGTAATACATACAGAAAATGATAGGAATCGAACCGAGAATTCCTGGTTCATAGGTCAATGCTCAACCACTGAGCCACACTGGTGGGCAAAATCAGTGAGCTTATACAAGGTAAATTCTACCTCGGTAAAATGTTTTAAAAAGTTATAAATACACAAACATACATATCCCTCCTCCCTCAATATGGATTACTATTGTACTACTATTTAGGGCCTACTGGAAAGCATTGACTCAATCATTCAAATATTTACTAGTTATCTATTTGTCAAGCATTTAAAAGTACAAAAATGGACTAGTGATACAGCTTATCTATGGCCTTAAGGAATTAGTACTCTTATGACACAGAAATATAATAAAATAGTAGTAAGAGCTAACATTTAGAAAATATTGGGTGCCAAACACCATTCTAAACATGTTCCTTGATTTAATAAGTAGAGAAACTAAATAATATAATAGAGATGAAATATAAGCTGAATCTTTAAGACTGAATGGAAACTTATTTAGAGACGGGCATTCCAGATAGAAAATATAGGACATACAAAAAGAGAGAATGACAAAAGATGGCACATACAGGATCTGTTGAAAATTGTCAGAAGCCAGGAGTGGAAAGTCACGGAGCCAGATCCCTGTCATAAAAAGCAAACCTAAGCATTTTCAGAGAAAATGAGTTATTGGTGCTTTCAACCCAAATGGTCATCACATTAAACATAGTTGGTAAGTATGATATTTGTTCAACACACAAATACGGTAAACCAAAATGCTAAATTATACAACTACAAAAGTCGCTTTTTCCATTCCTTTCCTATTTCTCCCTCCATTCAGCTCCATTTGACC